GGCGGCGGCCGGCGCGGTGGGGACGGCAGCCACCATGTCGGATACGCGGCGGCGAGTGAAGGTGTACACTCTGAACGAAGACCGGCAATGGGACGACCGAGGCACCGGGCACGTCTCCTCCACGTACGTGGAGGAGCTCAAGGGGATGTCGCTGCTGGTCCGGGCCGAGTCGGACGGTAAGGTTATTGGAACGGTGACTGGGGACGGCGCCTCCGGTGTGGGCTCTCCCAGGCCCGCCTCGGGCCCGGGTCCCCGCGCTGTCAGCTCCCGGGACGCGGCGCGATTCTGCCCGTGAGACAGCTTTGTCCGAGTCTCCCCTCCGTGGGATGCCGCGCCCCCCGCGGGGGGCTGTGACCCCCTTCCTCGCGCCTTCTTTAAGGAGGGCGGGTCGTGGGAAGGACGTTTCCTGGACTGGGATCGAACTCCGCGTCCCCGGAGGAGCGGAGGCTCTGGCACGTACAAAAGCTGTAGCGAAACTTTCCCTCCTGGTGGCCCCCCAGCCAGGCCCTCCTCGGTGTTAACCGCGCGTTGCTAAGGGGCCCCCAGTTGCCACAGTCGGCAGGGACTGGGAAACCCGAAGGACACCTTTCCTGGGGCTCCTGCAGGCTGTTGCCAAGATACGGGCACGCACGAGCACGGACACCTCCCGTGCCTGGGTGCCGAGAGAAAGTGGAAAGTGCGCCCGAAGCAAGTTAGGGTACCAGCGATGCCTTGTCAGGGCGGCCTCCCGGTGGACCGCGTCCAGCGTGGCGTCGTTTAAAGTGGTCCAGTGTGAAGAGCCCTAAGGGGTCATCTGAACGCGTCTGTTTAGCGGTTGATATGTGCAGACAGTAGGAACACCACAGCCCTAGATTTGTTCGTGGGATGTTTTTTGTACCTGTGCCCCCTCCCCTTTATGTTCAATCGCCATGGACATTTGTTTCCGAAGGTGCCCATCGTTTTTGTTCTCAAAGAGGAAAGGATAACCGGACTGCTGTAATTTGTGAATCAAGGTCTAAGATCCCTGCCGTGGTGCTTTGTCATTTATTTGTGAAACTGGAAATGCAATAAAATAACGTGTTTTTAAAAGTTTGGCTCCAAGTGGTCATTGGGCTCGTAATATTTTCATTTCAATAAAACTTTAGTAGTCATCTAGATTGCTCGCTTTCTTGGATGGATGTTTCTCTGCGTTTAACTTTATTTATATATATAAGGATTACTATAGTCTAGATTAAAAACGAAACCTAGAGAGAAATGTGAATTAGAATACATTTTAAGTATTTAATAAATACATACTTTAAACTAGCTGGGTGGAGAAGCAAGAAAAATTTTGTGTATTTTTAATGTGCTTATTTTTTGTTTCAAGCTTTTTCATTATTGAAACTTATTTTATCTTTCAGGATCACTACTCTTGGAATCAAAGATAAATCCAAATACTGCATATCAGAAACAGCAGGCAAGTAGTTATTTATCTTATTTGAAAGACTTCATCTGTGATCAAGGAACTATTAATCAGACAAAGATGGGAAAGCTTTCCTGACAAGACAAAAAACATGTTTGGTCAACAAAGCTACACAGCTTGTGTTAAGTTTCAGAAAAGTGGAAGCCTTTATACTGGCTGAAATTTATTATCATGTTTGAATGAAACTATTGTTGGTCTGTATTAGGCTACAATGTATTCATTAGTTTTCTTTATCTACAGTTAGTCAGGTTTCTCCTATACCCTGTACAGGAGCCCTTTTATTCTGAATCACATTTAAAGGAGATGGCATAAAAGAAAATTCAGAGAGGCACACTCTAAAGCAAAGAAAGCCTATCTGGTATGAAATTAGATCCTTTGACTCAGATTTTTTTGAAGTAGAAGCATTTAAATCCTGTTCTTTAATTATTGTATATTTTAAATATAAAAACCAATGGATACTTTAAAAGAGTTTACATTGCTGATGTAACATCTCTGTTAATATTTGTTGTCTTTTGGGAAAAGAAAACTTGTGTTGGTTGTGTTTTAGTATGCCTACATGTTTAATCTGAAAATTGGTGCCTTCAACCTTTTCTTTAATCTCTGATTGTTTTCATTTTTATTATGAAATACTTTTAAATTGAGAAGACCACTACTGGATTTAACAAATGTTAACATTATACTTCATTTGTTTGAAATTAGTTTGTAATATTGAACATTATGGTTAGTCAAAGCCCCTTATGTATTTATTCTCCACACTCACCAAAGGTAACCACTATTCTGAAATTGATGTATGTTATTTTTGTACATGCTTTTATACCTTTTCTGCATATGTATGTATCCATGAACAATATGTAGTGTTTTCTGTGTTTTAAAACTTTACATAATTGGTATCATATAATTCTGTATTCTGCACCTTGCATTTTCCACTCAACCTTATTTTGGAGATTTATTCATGTTAATGATGTAGATCTGGTTGCTTTTTGTTTTGTTTTTCACATTAGCCACTGTGTAGTTTTCTAATGTGTGATACATACCTAGAATATTTTTAGTACTTTTGCGTATCATGTATCACGTGAATATGGCAGAGATTTTTGAAGGAAGGAAAGTATCTTAGAGTTATATTTACAATGTAAGTGCTACTGTCTTCAAGGTCCATATTAAAGAAAATGTGGATGCCCAAGAGCAAATACTTCATAGTTGGAGGAATAAAATTATGTCTATTGCACAGTTCATTAATAGTAAAGTGATTACTGTTTCACAATTGTTTCATGCATGCAAAACATTCTAAATTAGTTCTTTGAAATATTCGAAAATTTTCAATACTTAATCATTTCTTAATCAATTTTCTCTGCTTACAAAATGTTTGTTTTTTATGAAGAATCATTAAACATTTGTCTAGAACTGAACCTCTCAAGATGTTTCCTATATTAATCACTCATTTTCAGGTAGATGTTTAAATCAACCAAGCAAATACTTTGCACTGCATTTTCTCACATAGCTGTTTGTTTGGCTTTTTTTAGGTAAATACTAATGTTTTGTGATAGTGCGGATTTTCTTGCCCCCAATTTGCATAAATATGAGGTCTCAGGAATTCTCTTCATAAATGGAACTTAGTGATAGAAATCACCTACAATGCCCCTAATAAAATGATTTGTAGAAAAAAGAAAACAGCAAAAAAATCACCTACAAGTTAGTTATAATATAAATTCATTCTAAATGAATAAAAGTTCTCTTAGCTTTTGTTAGCATTGGAAAAGTCTCATGATTGTGGAAATTTGCAGTTAAAATAGTTGTCTCTCAAAACAATGAAAACTTTAATTATAGGGCATACTTTTTTATGTTGTAATGCTACTCAGTTTTAGATACGTGACAATTTGAATACACTAAATCTGCACAAGAGAGAAAAAGCATATTTTATCTTAAAAATAGATTTTTGGCAAAATGTTTTCTGTATTTAACCACATTTAAATACTACATCAGTAAAAGGCTTTTGTACCTCGGTTTTTGTTTGTTTGTTTTTAATTGAAATGCTTTTACTAATATTAAAGTACCATATATGAGAACTCTTTGGTATTGAGAAGCATATGGAAAAACATTTCTTTTTCTCAAATTGAATGCACTTTTCTAATAGATATTACATAGTCAATTATGGGTTATGTTAGACTTGTGTTTTTAATCAAATTGCACTAATTAGGGTATCCAGACAATATTATTCTGTCATTTAAATTATGTAATAGTGTAGAAAACTATTTACTTTCAAATCTACATGGAATGTATTGATAGCAAGTTTTAATTAGGATGAAATGTTTGTAGAATGTGTAATTAGTAAAATACATTGAATAAATTTAGGAAAATATTGAACCATACTTGACTTTAGCAGTTTTAAAATGAATATTGAATTGTGGATTACAAATACCAGTATATCTTTTTTTGAACAGCCAAACTACTGAATCGTGGGCCCTAAATAAGTTAGTCGGATTAAGTTAAGGGGATTTCAAATTTCTGGAGACTGAGTAGGTCGTCACTGATTCACTTTTCTTGCTAATTTTGCACAAAGTTGAGATATATATGTATATAGGAAGACCCTAAAGGAGACAATAAACTGTTAAGTATTTAAATTAAACACATTGGGAAAAGCTTATTATATACAATGCAACATGACATAAAATGCCTGACACATGTTGACATTTAAAGCTACTTCAAACCAGTTCTAGGGATCTTGAGTAAGACAAAAGCAGAATCATAGGATGTGTGCCTTTTATGTTTGACAGAATTTTATGCTGTTGAGATTATGAGAGAATAAGGAAGGTAGTCTTTGATTCTGTTTAGAGACAAGACAAACTGATCAAAACAGTGACAGAATTATAAAGTAGCTGGGAAAGTTGTGTTTTAGCCTCGTCCTCAAAAGCCTATGGAAGCATTTCACGGTTCTGACAACTAAACATAGAAACGTTAAATCTCTTGACCTTCATTTTATAGTAGTTATACCAACACAAAATATAAACAAGCTTGAAGGCACAGATTGGCTTGTAGAAATTTTAAAAAGAATGGGCTGGGATCTGTTGAAGGAATGTGATGAGGAAGGAAATAGTATACCTACTATCAAAGGCAGTGGAAAAAAAGAGAAAGACCTTTGATCAGATGGCTGGACAAAGTGGCTGCAACAATGGGCACAAACAATAGGAACAATTGTGAGGATGGCCACAGGACCTGGCGCTGTTAGGTTGTTTTACTGTGAGTTGAGCCTCTGTCCTCAGCACCTGACTAAAATTATAAAAGGTCTGAAGCCTGTTGGGAGCAGAGCTTTCTTATTCAAGAGCTGATTTGCTAAACAAAGGAGCTTTTATAGGTTCTTAGGTAGGGTCCTAATGATGAAGGTGATAATCATTTTGATAATAATAGATTGGTATGGATTGAAGGTTAGGGTGTGGGGCAGAAGTGCTTAGGAACTTTTGCAATAATTCAGATACCAGGAAATAGGTCATAGAATTGGAAAGAAGACAGTTCTTGTATATTTTCAGAATGTACTGCAAGATTTGGTGAATGATTGTGGAAGAGAAATGGCTTATTGGTAGTGTTTTTTATTCTTGGGGCCAGGAAAATAATGGTTCCCTAAAACCTGGGAAGTTGCAAAAGGAAAACAACGAATTGTTTTGCTAAGGCATGTATGTTTACAGCAACAACAAGCAACTGTCTTTAATAAGTTATATTATTAAAAATCAAAAGGTATTTAGTCCACTCTCCTCCCTGTTCCACACATATACCGTAGTTGTATTTACTTGAGGCCACTCATGCCTCAAGTAAATACAATCAGTTTTCAAGTATATCTTCTCAAAAGTTTTATAGATAAATGTGCACACAATTACACATGCTCAGTTTTATTGGCATACATGGCCTCATACTCACAAGGATCAGGCTGATTCTGACCCAATGACCCTCAATGACAGGGTAAGCGGACCTTTTGGGTTTCTGAGATTATAACTCTACTGGAGTCGAAAACCTTGTCTTTCTCTTGTAGAGCAGTTGGTGGTTTTGAACTGCTGACCTTGTGGTTAGCAACCCAGCTTAACACACTATGCCATCTGGGTTCCTGGCATACATGAGAATACTACACACTACTGTTTTGTGCTGCTTCATTGAGATTTTGAGGTGAGAGTAAAACAGATCCTATAATAAACATCTGGACCTAGAGCTAGGGGAAGTGTTAGGGGCAGGAGAGTCTGAGGATCATCAAATGTCTTTTTACCTGCATCAAGGAAATTCCTTTATTGGGGTTAGATACAATTTTTTTCATTCTTACAATGGTTTGGTTTTGAGTGCTGCTGTTTAGTTTGGATTCTTGATTTGAAAGCTTTGTGGGCTTCTCAGCTAAAGGTTTGCATGGCTCAGCCTACTTACTAACGTGTGTAGAGTGGAAAAGGTCAATGAAGGAAGTAGAGAGGTGGCTGCATAGTCTGGACAAATACTATTGGATCATTGTGAGGGAAAAGGGATGGTGGCTGTGGAGATGGGGATGTTGAATATAGAATTTTTGAGACATGCTGATTGATGAACGTGTTAGTAATTAGGAAGAGGAAAAACCGAAAAATAAGCTCACTGCGTGGAGTCAGTGCTGACTCAGAAACCTCCCTTTGATTTCCTGAGACTTTAACTGTTCACAGGAGTAGAATCTTTCTCCCGAGGAGTGGTTGGTGGTTTTGAACTGGTGACTGCAATCGCAGCTGAACTCCTAACCGTTACACTACCAGGGCTCCTTACACCAGCCAAACTCTCCCATCACGCTGGTTCCTACTTCCAGCCTCTGTTAAAGAAGAAATCATTGAAAAGAACAGAGAATTGGGAAAATGTTTCCAACCCAAGAGAGAACAGTGAAAAGGAGGGTGTTGGGGTTCAGCTGGAAAACTTGAAGGGAAACCAGCCTGAGTACCTTTGTGGGGAGTGGACTAAATGAGTGCATAGGGAGAATTTTGTAAATTTTTTTTTAAAGAATTTTG